ATCTTGCTGACATTACCTCTACTGCATGGTAATAACCTCCATAAAAAGCAAAACTCAATAAGTCAGAAGAGGATAGGGGAAAACCATGTCCTCCTACTTGAAAATTCCAAAGCAGCTTGTAATTTTTTAAGTTATTTATATGATATATATTCATAGTATGACTTAGCTAAGCAAGTGAAGTCTGTGATTGATTGGAGAAGCAGGCATTTGAAAGGCTGTTGAGTTTCATGAACAAAAACTTATATCATCAACCCAATGTGAAGATCTTAGTTGTTATTGTATTGCCCAGAGATAGTTATTTAAAAATTGGCCACATTCTTTAGGAGCATATTATTTCAGAAGATATACACACACAGACAAGTGCCTGTGTTGAAACATAGACTAAAACAAAATCATGACAGATTATATGGGCTAATCTTTTCGGTTTATTCCATGTCAGAAATATAGGAAAAGGAACTCAGCAGAACTATTACTTAAGCAATTCTTTTCTTGAGGTTCATGGTTGAGATCACAGACAAAGATGATCCTTCAGATATGGGACCATCTAGAAACTCGGGAAGAATATCATCTAGGTCTTTTGGTGGATGCCCTGGAGATAAATGAAATATATGTCAAGGTTTTACCTACATTATGGAAAGAGTTAAAATCAATCTCTTCTCTCAGGTCACATTTAGGAAATTTGAGCATACAACCAACCAAGATAGAGAACTGTGAAATCACATAACACAACAGACAGTTGAGGAAATAGCAATGTTTAATTTGGAAAGGAGACAATTTAGAATTGGAATATAGGCAGATAGCTGCATTTAATATTTGAAAGACTTTTCTTCTGTGAAAATGGAGTTGTTATTCTGTGTGCCTTTATTCAGTGAATGGAAGTTAGAAGTAGGTATAGCCTTCAATACTTCATAAATTAGTGCTGAGTGAGTGATTATATAATGAACGGGTTATTGATGGAAAGAAGGATTATGACTGAAAATACTGAGTGTAGAATTTTCAAAGCATGGAATGCAATTGACGTCCTTGACTCCCATTCAAATCAATAGGCCACCTGCAGTGAAAACCTCAAGCAAATTTCCAAATATTTGCTGCAGCCCGTTAGTGAGGGCTGTGAAGTACCATTCGTGAGAGGGTGATGTTTAACTTTTCCAGCTGTGATTGGCAGGGCACCCTGTGTTACGGTTTCTATTATGTGGCATTTAAAGAACCTGCTTGTCACCAAACCAGGCAGGCTTATAGCTGTGAGCAGTTATTGTAAAATGTGGTTTAGATTTTGTCTTGGTGCCATGCATGAACAACTAAGTGTGTATTTACTGCATAGTGCCAAAATGAATTCCAAATTGGGATTATTATTGAATTTTAAATATATATATATGAATGCAATAAATTATATTCTTTTCTGTGGAAGTTTAGCGTACAGTGGGGAAGCTCAAGAAGTTTTAATTAAATTTACAATTTAATTTGTTCAATTAAATTTACTACTGTACGGTTAAATAAGAAGTGTATCATTTTCTATAAAAAAGCTAGTGTGTTTTATCTCTACCCCTACTTAGGACATTTGGGATTTTTTTTACCCCAACTTTCCCAGATGTTAGACAGGTAAATAAGATTGATTTGTCTTTCCAATGGTTAAATAAGAAGTGTATCATTTTCTATAAAAAAGCTAGTGTGTTTTAACTCTACCCCTACTTAGGACATTTGGGATTTTTTTTTACCCCAACTTTCCCAGATGTTAGACAGGTAAATAAGATTGATTTGTCTTTCCAACACAAAAATTTATGCATCAAAATGAATGATGGTCTTCAAAACAGTCACTTCTATGGTGGTAAGCTACATCCTGTTTGTATCTATATATTGTGTAATTGACTTGCCAGTTACACAAGAAAATGTCACGTTATTTACTTCACTTTTTGTTTTTGAACAAAAATAAGATTACCCAGTACACTCTTCCACCTTTTTCCAGACTTAGACATAATTGAATTTTGGCTCTTTTCAAAAATCAGAATTATCTTCAAAGAATCAAGTTTGCTACTTGGCTGTTAAAGGCGTGCCCAGGCCAGCAGTCAAGTCCGCAAAGAAGAACTTTGTAAGAGTTTGCATATAGTTACATAAGGCCACTGCTGCGAGGGACAGGGCTGCTTTGAAAGAANTATATATATATGAATGCAATAAATTATATTCTTTTCTGTGGAAGTTTAGCGTACAGTGGGGAAGCTCAAGAAGTTTTAATTAAATTTACAATTTAATTTGTTCAATTAAATTTACTACTGTACGGTTAAATAAGAAGTGTATCATTTTCTATAAAAAAGCTAGTGTGTTTTATCTCTACCCCTACTTAGGACATTTGGGATTTTTTTTACCCCAACTTTCCCAGATGTTAGACAGGTAAATAAGATTGATTTGTCTTTCCAACACAAAAATTTATGCATCAAAATGAATGATGGTCTTCAAAACAGTCACTTCTATGGTGGTAAGCTACATCCTGTTTGTATCTATATATTGTGTAATTGACTTGCCAGTTACACAAGAAAATGTCACGTTATTTACTTCACTTTTTGTTTTTGAACAAAAATAAGATTACCCAGTACACTCTTCCACCTTTTTCCAGACTTAGACATAATTGAATTTTGGCTCTTTTCAAAAATCAGAATTATCTTCAAAGAATCAAGTTTGCTACTTGGCTGTTAAAGGCGTGCCCAGGCCAGCAGTCAAGTCCGCAAAGAAGAACTTTGTAAGAGTTTGCATATAGTTACATAAGGCCACTGCTGCGAGGGACAGGGCTGCTTTGAAAGAAACAGTCAGATGTTTGCTAAAATAATGAGCTTTGTCACCTCGTAGGCTCATGGTGTCCACCATATCTTATGGAAGGGCTCCACTCTACCCGGCTGGGCTACCTGATCACGTATCTCTAGGAGACTGTGGGTGTGTCAGCCATGCTTTCTGCCACTAACACCAGTTGGAAGTGGCAGGTGCAGAGAACAATGAAAGCGACTGGAAGCAGCTGAGGGTAACTGCCCCAGCCCACCTCTCACAACCCTGCAGGGTGCAGAGGAACAGCACAGAGTGAATTAGCATGGTGGTAGCCAACTGATGGAGCCTGTCAGAGAGGCAGCAGGAGCTGTTGGGGGAAGCACTCACTGGGACTCAGGAGCACGGTGGGATTGGGTGGGGCAGGTGAGGGCCCGAGTGCAGAACAGCAGGAGACCCTTACAGTGGCTCGCCCTGTGCTATGGGACCCCAAGAGGAAGCAGCCTTCTTTTTTTTTTTGTCCTCTTTGAGACCGGCCGCACTGTGCTCAGCCAGTGAGCGCTGTGAGCCCACCGGTCATCCCTATATAGGATCCGAACCCGCAGCGGGAGCGCTGCTGCGCTCCCAGCACTGCACTCTCCTGAGTGCGCCACGGGCTCAGCCTGGAAGCGGCCTTCTTACCGTCCTGCTCTGTCTCCCTTGCCTTGCCCTGCTCTTGGCTCTGGTCGGTGGGGCTGACTTCAAATTCAGTTCATTGTTTGCCACAGGTGTGCTGAGCAGTTTTGGACAGGGTGGAGGGTATCTCATGCAACTCCAAATTCCCTACGAGTAAAGTGGGGATGATCCCTGCCCCATCCACACTGTGGGTTGCTCCGAGGATCCATGGGTCACCTGTTTTGTAAGCCGTAAACAACTATATTGTTGTTTTTTTTTCTTTTCCCTGTCATATCAAATTTGATGGTTTTTGAAGTGGCTCCTCCTGCGGTTGTTCTCATTATTAGACTGGCTGGGCATCACTGGGCCACTGGAGAGACTTTTTTAAAAGTACAGATGTCTGGGCCCTGCCTCAGGCTGAACCAGTGTCTCTTACTCTGGGGCTCAGGAATCAGTATATTTTATACTGTTTACTTATTAGTTTTACCTCTTTATTTAGCTTATTTCTTCAGTGGTGGCCCTACAATTTTAACTTTTCATGTCTAACTTCAAATAATTTGTACAACTTCGTGTATTACCTAAGAACCTTACAACAGTACACTTCAGGTCCCATCTCCTTTCCTGAGTGTGGTATCATTGTCGAACATTTTTCCTTTACATACATTATAAATCCCACAATACATTCTTTCTGTTTTTTTACTCGAAATAATCAATTACCTTTTTAAGCATTTAAAAATAAGAAAAAAATCTAGAATATTTACCTTTATTTTTATTATTTAGGTACTCACTCTTCGTGAAGATATATTTGGTATTAAAATTCTTATGCCGGCTCCCCGAGAGCAGGTCGGTTTTGCTCCTGTTCCACCCCCGGAAGCAGTGGATCTTTGCCTGGTCCCTGGGAGCAGGAGGGTTTTGTGCTCCCTCCTCACGAAACGTAAAGCTTTTGCTTCTTAAGGGAAAATGGTCCATGGAGACAGCAGGGCTTTATGCACATCCCCTAGCAGCCACGGGTCACCTCCTTCTCACCTGCACTACAGGCTTATCCCCAGACTGTCCCAGAGCACCCGATGGAGGCCCTTGGGGAAGAGCTTGTCCATTAGTGCAGTGTCTCCATGTTTGTCACCAGGGATTCCAAAGTGACACACGAGCTCAGGGGCTTCTAATGAACAAGTGATTGAGAGACATGTAGGAAAAGAGACTTCTTAGGAAGAATGTGTTTGTTAGTGTGTTATTAGAATTACAAATCTAATACAATTTTTTACTGTCTTTAAAGTGGAACATTCACAGATTAGAGTCTAATGGAAAGTACAGGTTTAGCCGCTCCTCCGAACCAGTTCTGGAATTTTTCTGGTCTTCTACTGCAAACTGCCCTCAGCTCTCTCTGACTGACTAATTGTTGTTGGAAGGGAAGGTATTTACCTAATGGTGTCCACACAAAGGCTTGGAGGCCGTTGCCTGATTTCCAGGGGTTGTTTATCCACTGAAATTTCAGTCACGATCCTCAGCTGCCCTGGAACAGGAAGGCTTTTGGCATGTGGCAGTCACGGGAAGACTCTGAGCGTGTCTCTTTCTTAGTGCGTGCACTTCCCTATTGGCAGAATCGCATCGCAAAACGCAGCAGGAAGCTGGTGGATTACGACAGCGCCCGCCACCACCTGGAAGCGCTGCAGAGCTCCAAGAGGAAGGACGAGGGTCGGATCTCTAAGGTAGGGAGCCAGCCCACGGGGCGCACTGCTCTCCATATTTCGTGACCTGTAGCAACTTTGCTTTTGAAAATGAAATGTTTCCTTTTTAGAGGAGATTGGAGTCAGGCCAGAATTTGAACAGAAACATGGTGCTTGTGGGCAGCTTTCCATGGATTTTTAATTAAAATCAGGTTTTTCATGTTATTGTAGAACTCACATGGGTGGGATTAACTCACACATCTTGGTCAGAATAAGCTTTGGCCCCTCCAGTGTTGCCAGATCAAAGGAAGTGACATGTGTGCCTGCACTTCCTTACGTGGTTGTGGTCCATGCCTAACGCTGAAGTGCACACTCCGATGGGAAGCCAAGTGTGAAATCCTCAGACCTAACTCGGAATGGTCTGAGAATACAGACATGTGCTAGATCTGCATAACATGAATTGTCTTGTGGAAAACCCACTTCAGCACTTCTGACCTTGTGTGGCAGTGACTTACGCCTGCTGACTCACTGAGGTCACCTGCTGGCCACTCTCTTTGCCTCCGGTCCTGCCTTCTCCTCTGCCTGCACACCGCAGCACTTCTGACCTTGTGTGGCAGTGACTTACGCCTGCTGACTCACTGAGGTCACCTGCTGACCACTCTCTTTGCCTCCGGTCCTGCCTTCTCCTCTGCCTGCACACCGCTGCCTGAATGGTCCTTGTCCATCACATGACTGGTTACCTTTCCCTACTGCTTACATCCTTCAATGGCTCCTGTTGCCTGTAGAAAAGATTCTAAATTCCTTAGCATGGCTGCAAGGCCTGCACAGTTTGGTTGTAACTCACCTGTCTGTCTTTACCAGCTTCCAAGTCCCCTTTCCCTCCTCTCCTCCTTCCACACACACATGTTCTCAGCCACAGCCTCCCTGACCAACATCAGTTCCTGCATAGCCACAGTAGCAGCTGCTCTTCTGCAGAGGCCACATGCCAGTCACCCTGCTCAGCACTGCGCTGCGTTACCTTCCTTAACACCCACGACAGCCTGCGAGGTGCTGAAGGTAAAGCAGTCTGACGTGTACGCACGGAGAGTAAGCCAGAGTCCCACCCCAAGGAACGCCACTTTATGTATCGTGCAGCTTCCGCACTCCCTTCTTTAGCAAACGCTCTCTGATTCGTCAAGATTCAGTTAAAATGTCACCTTGGCTGTGGAGTCTTCTCTCTTCTCTACCATATTTCCCAACAGCAGGCTCCCTAACAAGTTGTAAGTTGTTCTGTTGTGATATATCTTGTAATGTAATTATTTGGACTTCCCTCGAGACTAGGAGTTTTTTGCGGGAGCATCCACGTCCAGTATCCTGAGCAGAGCTGTCTATGTGGCAGGCAGTTCACATACTTTTGTAGAATCAGTGAATGAACCAGAAACCGCAAGAGCAACCACTGTAATCAATCCGGTTTCCTGTCCTAATGAGTCTTAATATTTCATGTTTAATTGAAAACAATGGTGTGGATTTGAACCAAAAATCTCTTCTTCCCAATTTTTTTTCAGGATGCCATAAGGCTATTTCTATTTTATATTAAATGATGCTGTTGTATATAGTGATGACTTGTTTTTTTAGTGTAAACACGTTATATATCATTTGTAGGCTGAAGAGGAATTTCAGAAAGCACAGAAAGTGTTTGAAGAGTTTAATGTTGACTTACAAGAAGAGTTACCATCGTTATGGTCGAGGTAAAGACGTTTCTGTAAAGGTTATACGTGTCCTTTTTAGGAGCTCAAGACCCATGGATTTCCCTTACCTTGTCTTTATTGTCTGTGATGCTTCAACACTGTCCAGGAGAAGAGGTCGGTATCTACATTTGCCAGTGTGGCAGCTACTTGCCCCATGTGGCCACTGAGCATTCAGAATATGGCTAGTGTGGCTGAGGAATTGAACTTTAAACGTAATTTATTTAAAATTAAATAACCACATATTCTGTTATGGCAGCTGCCATAGTGGATGGCACACAGTTTTAGGCCTTGATGTGTTTCTCATGGGGAGACCCAAATCTCAATCAGAGGGACAAGGAGAGCTGCCCTTCGTCTTGCAATGTGCCCTTTCAGCTCTTGGCAGAGCTTCCTTTATTCCAAGACTAGCTTGTCTAGTCTTCTGGCCTTGATGCCGAGCCTCCACCTTCAGCCCTGGTCTTTTAACTTGAACTCCACTCCAGTTCTGGCACTAAATATTCTTCTTATTTATAGGTATGCTTCATTTCTGTTGGAATTGAGTGCATTTTCTATTGTTTGTTCTATTTTTCCGACTCAGTGGTAGAACCAGGAAGTGTTGAGTGGAGTGGGGCCTTACATTCCTGTTTCCTCAGCACCCCCACACCAGCACCCCAGATAAGCAGAGCTGTGCCTACCCTGCCACAGGGCAGTCAAGTCCTCCAGCCCTCACTGCCACCAGAGGATTACCCATAAAATCTTCCCACTTACAAATTCTAGAACTTCTACTTATCCTCCACAATTGTAAACATTTAGAGGGTCTAGACTTGAGATTGTTCATTTCTGCTATTGTTTGGAT